AAAAACATGGCTAGGCTGGGCACAGTGACTCATGCCTGTAATCCCAGCACTTTGGGAGGCAGAGGTGGGTAGATCACAAGGTCAGGAGTTTGAGACCAGTCTGTCCAACATGGTGAAACCTTGTCTCTACCAAAAATACAAAAATTAGCTGGCATGGTGGCAGGTGTCTGTAACCCCAGCTACTCAGGAGGCTGAGAATGAACATCACTTGAACCGGGAAGGTGGAGGTTACAGTAGGCTGACATTGTGCCACTGCACTCCAGCCTGGGCAACAAGAGTGAAACTGTCTTAAAAAAAAAAAAATCAGGGCTCATATTCTTCATTTTCTATCCCTCACTCCTTACCCTTTGTATACCCTAGCCTACTTCTATCTACCCTCTTACCGCTCCTTCTCACCTTTAGCGCCCTCCAGCCATCTGAAACTATTTGCAAATTCCGATTTTTCACAGAGGACCCCTGTGCTTTATGTCTCTAATTGTTTCTTTGCTTCTGAGTATCCTTTTTCTTTCTCTTTTTTTTTGTTTCCTCCCATATTTCTACAACAAAATCAGCTCAGGCCTTCTGTTTGACGTCTCCCTAACACTAGGATTGACAGGCAGTCATCAGCACTTATCACTAATATTCGGGTTCTGTTCTCCCCCATTCCATGGTAAGATTGCACTTCAGCCCCTACTGAAGTTGGGTGTGCCCAAGTGGCCTTATTTGGCCAAGAGAATGTGAGTGGAATTAATGATTGCTACTTCCAGGTAGATGCTTTGAAAAGCTAGCACATGCTTCCCTCCCTGTGTTTCCTCTTATTACAGCAACCTTCCAGATAATGGAACCTCATTACCATCTAAGAATGAGGACAAAGTGGAAGAAGGGCCTCTGTCATGGGTGATGGGAATGAAACACAGGCATGGCATGACCCTAGTTACTTAGACAGCAGAGATGTTAGTTTATTACAGCAGCATAACAACTCATCAAGACAATGCGATTGACTTAATAGCTCCCTCTTGTGTGCCTACAGCACCTTGCCTTGCTTCCACCTTAAACTTACTCAACTGCAATGTCATTATTTCATTTCCTGTCTGTCTTGCCAGCAGACCATAAACTCCACAAGAATATGGCTTGTATCGATGCATCCTCTGTACCCAACACAGTATTTGACATATGATAACCCCTTTAAAACACACATGTTCAATGAGTGAATAAAAAGTGCCTGCCCCATGCTAAATACACCCTGACGTTAACAAAGGTATTCTTGGAGTTTTGTCCATCCCACATGGGCAAATGATTAATCTACTCACAGTTGTGGCAGGTGGCACCGGTGTAACTTGTGTCACTGCAGTTACAATAGAAAGTAGTCCAGGACTGGGAGCAGCTTCCTCCATGTTCACAATAGTTTGGCAAACACCTAATGAAAGAAAACATAAAAGAAAAAAAAATAATAAAATAAACCAAATCAGTTGACCAAAAGGGGAAAGCAAAAATGTCTTATATCCAACTGCTGCAATTAATACTAGATACAGATTTGCTGTTCTCCCATACCTGCGTCAGGCTTAAATGACGTCAAAATAGTATGAGTAGTATGGTTTTACCACAAAAGGTAGAATCACCTTGCATTACTGGGCAATGGAAATCTCAGAGCTGATGTAGGTATTTAAGTTATGGATTTTAATATTGAGGCAAATTCATGTTGACTTAAAGTTAATTTGAAATGGTCAGAATTTGTAAAGCTTTTCACTTCTCTAAAAGCAAAATGTATAAAGATAACCATTCTACATTTTTTAATAGTTTTGCATTTTTAAAGGAGAGGCAGATAATTGAGGTCATTGTCCTCATGCTTCTCCTTTGGGGAATGACCAGGTATCTATTTTAAACTGCACAAAGACAATGTGAAATCAGAAAAGATGATACATGTTCATCTAAAATGCGAGGACATTTTATCATTTATAAAACTGAAAATGCCGTCCTTAAAACAAAGGCTTCTCTACTTAGGGTCAAAATAATACTGCTATTCTGAAAAATATTTTTACCACACATGTTAAAAACTCTATAAAATATTTCTGTAATTTGAATCAGCAATCACACTGAGATGACCCTATCTTAAGGCTATTGTTCAAAATGTGAAAAATATATATGCTAATTCTTGCTATTTGCAATGATGCCATTCATTATGTGAATAAACATAAGTGCCCAACACTAGAAAATTACTTAGGAAATCTGTAGTACATAAAATTAATGAACTATCATAAAACCACAACAAATGATGTGGACAAAAGTGATCGTAACAGACCAGGACTAGACTAAGTAAAAATTTAAGATACAAAGCATGTGCACAACAAAATAAAACACAGGCTTTATAAATTTCAAAAATAGTGGAAAGAAAAACATCTTTAGAATTAGGCTAATGGGAGTGGAGGTAATGTTTATTAATTCTGGACAGAAATCGTAGACTTTAAGGAGACATGTATCTAAGTTCAAATCCCATACACTGCATGGGGCCTTTGAGTTATAGTCTGTACCTCGTATGCTGTGTCATTAAGAAAGAGCCTGGCTAGTGCTCAGCAAATGTAGTGAATTAAGAGTAAAAACAAGGATACATGCCATAATTTTTTTTAAAACAATCTTTATAGTGTCTTAGAGAGCAAAGGAAAATAAATTCCTTGAATTTAAAAAGAGAGAGGGTGTAGGCCGTGAAGTTACGGAGGTGGTAGAATACCATAAATGGGTTCGTTGTGAAACCACTAAGAATCTGATGCAAGCAAAAGTGAGATGATTTATTCTAACTGCCCTATATAGGTAGGAAAGCCTCCAGCAATGATTGTTTCAAAGCCCAGAAACTAATATTCCTGCATATGTTCAGACACATTATTAGAAATTTTCTGCTCAGCACAGCAAACTTACTATTGTGCTGATGGGGCTTAGGTTTGAGAAAAGCTTGTTGATAACTTTATGGTATTCAATGATGGCCTAAAGTACAGAAAATATTTTTAAAAAGGACCCATCGTTTTGCTATGAAATGTGTTCACACAAAACAACTAAACAAACGAACAAATAAAGAAGTGGTCCTCTCTCTGTTCAAATGCTATCTCTCCTCTTTTCTCTCCACCAAGACCAGGAGAGTGGGTGGGAATAAAGGCCACAGGCTTGTCACTTGGGTCACTTGGAGATCTTATCCCGCTGTATGCTGGCAGGGAAATTTCAAAAACTTGGAGCCTCGATGTTCTCGTTCAAGTAAGGATCTCTTTTTGCAGGCATGTTCTGAGGACATCTTGTGGGGCTAGCGCTGTTTTGAATGGCCCCCTGTCCCCACACCCCTTTTTCTTTCATAACCCAGCATCCTCCTCCTTCTGAAATAATTTCCTTTTCTGAAGCTGCCCAGTTTCTCTATGACCTTTCCATATATCCTTTTGCCTCATCCCATGCCCCTCCCACAGCACACACTTAAACACATGCAGAGATTTCCATAATGAGCAAATAATACCATTATTGCTGCCCTCCCCCAACAATAAGACATTGCTTTAATAAAGAAAAACTGAGCAAAGCACACTCAACAGGTGCTTATTCTGTAGTTCTTTTGTCTTGGGCATCAAGAAAGTTCAGGGTTGCTTCTTTTTGGTGACTGAACTGATAAAATAAAAAACCCAGGAGTTTCAGTGGTCGTATTTTCAAGCATAAGAAGAAAGTTTGTCTGCAGTGAAAGAGAGACAGAATAAACAAAAAAAATATATGCTGACATGCAGCATGCGGCAAAAAAGGGAGATGGCAAGCACCCTGCCAACACTGGGTGGTTGGTCTTGCTGCTCTTGAGACTTCATTGCACCCATGAACTTCCTGAGGGCTGGCTGTTTTCATCTATCTTGGATTCTGTGACTAGCCCAACACTTTTCCAGGAAAATTCTCATTGCAATCAGGCTAGATGGAGCTGGGATTCTCTTACTTTCTACTAACAGAATTTTAACTTTGGGTAAGAAACAAGAATTCTATAACTACAAGAAGAAAAATAAACATTTTCTGTATATATATATATATACATTTTTTTTTAATGGAGTCTTGCTCTGTCACCCAGGTTGGAGTGCAGTGGCACCATCTGAGCTCACTGCAACCTCCACTTCCCAGATTCAAGCAATTCTCCTACCTCAGCTTCCCGAGTAGCTGGGATTACAGACCCCTGCCACCATGCCCAGATTAGCAGAAGCGGGGTTTAGCCATGTTGGTCAGGGTGGTCTTGAACTCCTGACCTCAATTAATCTGCCCACGTTGGCCTCCCAAACTGCTGGGATTACAGGTGTGAGCCACCGCACTCAGACCACTTTAAATATTTAATCAACTTTGGCATATAGATTAAACCTACTTTGGCATGTAGGGAAAAGGATTTAGGAGAAAGCTCTAAGAAATATCTGGGCACTAAGAACACATTTTAATATGCCTCACACAGACCTTGTTTTGCAGTATTAGACTCAATTCACCAATAAAAATGTAGGTATTAACTTCCTAGAAACTTATTTGTCTGTGGTCACTCAGAAAAACCAATGATGCATTCCTGGAAGTGTGAAAGACTACTTGCGTAAGGAAAATCTAGTTTTCCTAGAATGAGAAAAAAAGAATGAATGAACACTAGTAGAGCTGCCTTCAAGCTTGGTTCATTTTGGTTCAATGCACGCTGTGATTAGAAAAACTATCTGTAAAGTAGATGTTTGAGAAAAAAGATGCATAAGATCAATTTTCTTATTTAAAAAGGGCAGTTTTACGAGTATAATTTCCATACTCTTTAATCAGTTCGTTTTAACTGGTATTTGGTTTCTTTCTCTCTCTTCTTGACATAAACTGAGCATTGAAGACATTAACCCAGAAAAAGACTCCTTGTAGAAGTGGGAAGTGAAAAGAGTGGATTAAGTGTGAAGGCGCTCACTCTTTTAGGTGTAAGGCTCTTAATTCAAATTGCTAGGAGATAAACACATTGAACATCTGTCTTCTAAATCCTAACGATATTGCGTCTATAACTGCATCTGGATGGATGCTTCTTCCTTTGGTGCATAATGTTTAACGAAGAAAGCTTTTAGCATGGACACGATAACTTTTCTCTTACTCCTCAAAGCCCAGATAAGCTAGCATGGTAATGTGTCCCAGGGAAAACTCAGACAGTGTGACAGGCACATCGGAAGCTGTTAGCCTCTGTCTAAAAGTAGAATGTAATTGTCTTATGGGAAATGAAAGAAAGGGTTAAAGAAAGTCAGAGAAGATATAGGAATGAAAGGAGAAAAAAAAAATCAGAGGGTTAAAAGTCTTTATAATTTTTATCCAGATAAAAACTTCTTCCAAATGAGAAGGATCATTGCTAGGTTGGGCTATTGACAATCTAGGTAATAGGTAAAGTGAGAAGGTTTATCTAGAGTAGTCCGTGGACCCAAGGTCACAGTCCATCCTCTAAAGGTACATGGTTTTGGCCTCATAGTGGTTGTTTTGTGCTGTATTTGGCTATTCATGGGAGATATGAAGAAACAGAATATTTCTCTTTAAAGGCAACTGTACAGCAATAGAGACAGCCAAAGAAACTGCTTCAGAGCAGGGAGAAGATTATGTAGGATGTTGTGAGATTGAGCCACCGCGTAGACTAGAGATAGACATATCTGAGAATTTAAAAGGGAGTCCAGTTTCAAGCATCCCAGCAAGCACACTTTCAGCAGAGCATGCTCTCTCTAGATCAGCCTTAGGAAGAACAAAAGGACCCCCACCCTGCTTTCCTTCAGGGAGATCAGAGTGGTTATTTCTCTGTAATTTAGCTTTAACTGGGGCCAGGCTGAAGTTTCCAGCTGGAGTGGATGAGTCCTGGGAAAACTGTGATGAAAGCAATGGGAATCAAGACAGTTCAGGGAAATTCAGTCTGTCGGTTTGTTTTTAATTTGGAAAGTTTCACAGCAGAAATATGAATTTTTTGGCTTCTATTAAAGCAAAAATCAGATTACTGAGCAAAGTCAAAGCAAAACTCACGGCTACACACCAGTGATGTCAACATTTAGATTTTAGTTCAGTCTTCACTCGTGAATTCCAGACCCCTCTACTCAGCTGTCTGCTGGACAGCTCCATGTGGGTATCTAATAAATATTCTAAACTTTGTGTACCCAGATTGGACTTTCCAATCTCCCCCCTCACCCTGCCCCCACCGTTTGCTTCACTGTGTTCTTCAGTATCACAGTTGATGCCAATACCCTCCTTACCAGTATCCACGTTCCTAAACTTGAAGATCCTCTCCTTCTCTCATAGCCCATATCCAAGATGTGACTAATTCCTGCTCGCTGGGCCTTCAGAAGCTGTCCTGAATCTCACCACTTAGCACCCATCCCCGATGCTGGTCTGATCTGATCCGAAAGCATCTCCCACCAGAATAACTACAATTATCAGCCTACGGGT